TATGACCGGGCGATGGTAAGTTACGAACATAAGTATAGTCTTACTAACAGTTACCAATGAGCGATAGTTAGAGATATGGAAACCTCTCAATAAATTGTTCCAATTTTTGTTTTCAAACTAGTGCTAGATATTGAACAATCGCTTAAATAGGATGCAAGAAATATGAGTGCAAAGGAAATTATATATATATATATATATATATATATATATAAGCAAGTAAAAATGAAAGATGGAATGTGAACTGTTGGATGGAAGTGACAAAAGTAAAAAAAACTCACCGTTTAAAATGCATACTGAGCTTTTCAACATAACAGGCATTCGCCCGATTAGGACGCCCTTCTTTGTCACGATTTCATTTTGGCGCATAAACGTCACATCCACCAGAATCTCACCAGCGTAGGTAAGGTCACGCAAACGACAATCATGAGGAGTGACACGGCTAGCGACAACACCTCCGTCATTCACTGTGGGTGGTCGAACATACACATCATTGTACTCGAGCCACCAATTAGCTTCTGGAACGCTTACACGATTATTAGCCCTAACGATATTCTTGATTTCCGTCTCGATGAAATGGTTATATGAATCGATATGCAATTTCACCAGCCCCTTTGCAGCTAAAAATGCCGGGACTAGAATGTGTTTGTTTTGAAGTGGAGTAACCGTTTCACGATCCGACGCCATCGGTTACTCAAGGCTGAAAATGAAACTTTCATGATGGATTCAAATGAAACAATAATTTTCTAAATAAGAATAAACAATAGCACCGGCCAAATAGATAGTGGAAGCCAACAACACCTTCGGCCGCTTAAATAACATGCTTATCCTGTTGGGACCGCACATCGTTTACTACTCCAAGTTTCAGGGTTTGTTTAACGGTTTCCACGACAGAATTGTGGTTTGTCATGGCTATGGAATTCATTCCTCCCACTGTTAGTCTGGCGAAATATATGCATAGAACTAGGATATTGCGTGAAGCAGTGTTTGGCCGATTTACTTGGTTATATGCAGCAACCGATTCAAAGTAGTGAAAGTTAGTGAACGGCTTATAATGTTATTAGAAACGCGCGAAAAGTTTCCGTGTTTGAATCTGTCAAATGGAAAAGTAAAGGGCAGTGATTCGATACACCACTACCTTCAAACCTCTATTGCTTCCACAATTATTTTTTCCGAGACAGTAGCAAGGCTCTCCGAACTATGGAGTTGTCTTCAACACGATTGATAAGCAGACACTGCTAAATACCCCCTCTTTAGGTGGTGTTCGCCTTCTTACGATTGAACTCTTGGCCAACTATTTCTCCAACGGTCAGCAACTCACACGCTACAAAGATCATACATCTTCACTGCTGCCCTTCTCACAAGGCGTTTACCGCAAGGCGCTATTCTATCTCCTTTTCTATTTTTCGTTTACATCTTTCCTATGCTTGTGAGCTATTCTTTTATTCTTGTTAAGGACACAGTCGTTGTAATATGTGAACTGCCCCACCCCGACCCATCATCTCAGACCACTTTACACGTTGACGTGTCAAAAATCGTGCAGTGGTCTCAACGAAGGAACCTCCACATAAAACCCAAAAAATGAATTGGTGTAATTTCCCCATTTTGAAAGGCTAAAAGTATGATGAATTCTCAAATGCCAGCCCCCGCTTATCTATCTTAAACGATTAGATGGATCGATAATCATCCGTCAAACCTGTTATTTTTAATCGTAACCTCATCTGGTCAAACCACGTCAACGAACTTTTTCGAAGGTCAGGAGGCTTACATTTCATGTTTCACATCTTAAATCACTTTTTATATGTAATCATATCATATGGCGTTCTGTTTTTGCTCACGTTTTGCCCCACTGGCTTTAGGTGTCCTCGGTTATCTTCCCCGGAAAGAAGACGTAAGTGAGGCAATAAAGGAATCTGACGGCACTGATTGAAATTCAGGAAAGCCATCTTGAACGCTGCAGGGAATATTTTAACGCTCAGTTCAGCTGGTCCCCGTCGACACAATACCTCCCCTACTAGCCTCATCTGCGCAAATACTGTGAATCGACATCAATCCTCCATCGGAAATAGAGGTTACCCGAGAAATAAGTCAACCCAAACGGCATAAGGCCTCTGGCCCAAATGTTCTATCCCCATCGGCTTTTAGGGATGGATGTTCAGTCTTGGTTAACAAAATTCCTGGGCTCGGTGTGGGAGAGGGATCAGGTTCCAGCTGAATGGTGTGAATCGGTGATCATACCGATTTACAAGAAAGGCGACAGGTCCTCCTATGAAAACCATAGAGGAATTAGTTTGATGCTTGCGACACCCAGGAATATCGATCACTGTCTCGACCCATCGGTGAACATGATCTCGGGGTCCCCAGTCAGGGAGCGTAACGGGACTTATGTAACCTAGTCTCCTGGTTATATATCCTCATGCCAGGTCTTCGTTTGACCGCCCTCGACCTTTTTCCAACTGATATTTGACTCCGTAAACATCGCTCATGGCAACCTATATGGTGAGACGCGTAACACGACCGAGTTTACCTAAAACTGTAAGCCTAACCTCATGGTTGTACAAAATGAAACTGAAACCTCAGCATTGCTCTTCTAGTCAACCCACCACAATCATCCCATGCCATGTAAACAGCCATTTTCAAACACCGAAAATCAATTTTCATCCTGACCACGTAATGACCAAGTATCTGTAACCGTACAACTGGCCGAACTATCGCGGCATAAACTCGACCCTTCACAGACAACAGGATATCACGACGGCGCCACAGAGGTCTCAAGTTGGCAAGTGCCAACCGAGCCTTCTGTATGCGAGCAGACACTTCATCCGTGATNAGCTGCCCAAATAACAAAACTTATCCACCTGCTCCATTACTTCCCCAGTTAGAGTGAGACTGGGTGCTGGACCAACCCAGTCTGGTAGTAACATTTTACACTTCGAAGTTGCAAAACGCATACCGAACATGGCTATATAAAAATGGCTAAACTAGCACTGAAGTTATCCAGAAAAGCTTACAACTTACGTGGATCTTCACTTAGCAGCACAATGTCATCTGCATACTCTAGATCAAACAGTTTGTCACCTGGGAGTATATCGATACCGCTATCCCCGCACGAGGATAGGGCTGTTTCCATAATCAAATCTATAACAAAGTTAGATAGAAATGTAGAGAGAGGGCAACCCCAACGAACACCACTTTCCGTGGTGAACTCGGGTGAAAAAGTGCCGTAAGCCCGGAATCGACTTCAGCTTTTAGCATAAAGCGATCGTAATATCGAAATTAACTTCTCGGACACAGCATTCAGGGAAAGGCAGTGTTAGAGTTTAGAGCGGTCGACTGAGTCGAAAGCCGATTTCAGATCCAGGAAAACAGAGATGGTGGGTCTACGAAAAGAATGCCGATGCTCCAGAATTTGGCGGAGAGTGAAGATGTGGTCGATAAAACCTCGATCGGGTTTTAAACCAGCCTGGTTATCACGCATGTACAGTTCATGTGCGGCACACAATCGTCGGAGTATGATACGAGAGAAGTATAGAGATGATGTTGATTAAACTAATTCCTTTGTGGTTTGCATAGGAGGACCTGTCGCCTTTCTTGTAAATCGGTATGATCACCGATTCACACCATTCAGCTGGAACCTGTTCCTTCTCCCACACTGAGCCCAGGAGTTTTGTTAACTTCAAAACCAAGGCTGAACCTCTATCCTTAAACGCTGATGAGAACGGCCCATCTGGGCCAGAGGCCTTATGCCTTTTGATATACCTTATTTCCCGAGGAGAGAGAATCGTAACGGCTGTTGAACAGGAAGAACACAAAGGCCCGATACCTAGGCTTTATTCAACATACCAATGGACGACAGGGGCTGAAAAGGAATGAAGGGACAATTTAGGGAGACGAATACAAAGTGATATGAAACGACAAACTAGAGTGCAACATATTCACCCCCGCGGACTGTTTTCGTCGGAATTTTTGTGAAAATGTTCTATGCTTCTCGATTTCTCAAATTATAGGGATGAGTGCGTTGTTGTGCTTTTAGTAATGGATATATCTCGGGTTCTGTATTGTGTGGATCTGTGTTTTGAACGAGGGGTGGGGAAATGCTCGTGTTTGTTGTCCCATCGGAATTGTTACTATCTGTATGAGGAGGGGGTTGATGATTGCATTCGGGGATTGCGGATTCATTGGGTTCTGGGTATGTAGCCGTTCGTAACTCAGAAACTTGACCTTTGGGGGCCAGGTGGTGTATTGATACCGTATTTTCTCGCCCATTTGGGAAACGGATATGGCCGTACTTGGGATTACACTTGAGTAACTCAACTTCGTCCACCAGGGGATCGGTTTTTGTTAATCTTAAGGATCGACGCATTAAGATAGGTCCAGGAATACTCAACCAGGTCGGTATAGAGACTCCTGATGCAGATTTGCGATCATAAGAAAAAAATCGCTCATGTGGGGTCGCGTTGGTGGCTGTACACAGTAGTGATCGAATACAATGGAGAGCTTCCGAAAGAACGGATTCCCACTGAGTACATGGCAGACCCTTGGATTGCGCTGCGAGAACGATAGTCTTTCAGTTTGTCCGTTTGCGCGAGGGTTGTAGGCTGTCGTTCTACTGAAGACAATGCCATTGTTGTGAAGGAAATTCTTAAGCTCGTACATGAAGGACGAACCCCTATCAGAATGTATTTAGTAAGGTATATCAAAGATCGAGAATAAATTGGTGAGACACCGGATGACTGTAGCAGCTGATAGGTCAGCGCAGGCGTAAGCAAACGGGAATCGAGAGTACTCGTCCACGATCGTCAACAAGTATCGGTTTCGAGATTCTGACGAAAGTGGACCTTTAAAATCAGTGTTCAGCATCTCAAACGGCGCAGTGGCTTTGATTAAATTTCCCGTAGGAAATTTACAGAACTGTGGTTTCCACCTAGCACAGATTGAGCAGCCGCTGATGACCAATTTAACTTCATTGACAGAGTGAGGGAGATTTTTAGTTCGAACAAAATGGAGCATTCGCACGACTCCAGGATGACACAGTGATTGATGTAGCTGCTTGAGTGGTTCAAGTGATGTGGACACTGAGCAGCAGCTACGAGACAATGGGTCAGCCGCCACGTTTTCGTGTCCAGGGCGGTAAATAACATCGAAGCTGTGGCATGATAGTTCGGTTCTCCATCTCAGAATCTTATCATGTTTGATTTTACCGTGGTGTCTCGAATCGAACATAAAGGCAACCGATTTTTGATCTGTGATCAGTCTGAAGTGCGTGCCAAGCGAATAGTGTCTCCACCTCCGAATAGATTCGACGATGGCCTTGGCCTCTTTCTCTGCAGAGGAATGATGCCGTTCTCTTGGAGATAGCGTTCTAGAAAAGAAGGCAACCGGCCTACGGTTCTGCGAGAGGGTAACCGAAATAGCTACGTCTGAGGTGTCTGTTTCCAAGATTAGTGGTATCTTTGGGTTGATGGTGGTGACGACTGCGTGTTCCAGTTCGCTTTTAAGAGTTTTGAAGAATATTCTGACGTCCTCTGGAAGGGGAAATGTGTTATTATGTACCAAGGGATGTATCTTGTCCGAGAATCGAGGAATCCAATGGGGAGTAATATGAAAATAAACCGATTGCCGATTGCGTNTTGCGATTTAAGGTCTTTGGGAGGAGAACGTTTTTGGAGTGGTTTCAATCGTTCAGG